CGGAAAATGTTTTGGTCAAGGTTCGCGAACTGGAGTCCAAGAGGAACTCTGCCAATGCCATTGGAGAAGCTGCCCGGGCTCTGGAAACTGCAACAGACAAGATGCAAACAGAACTGGCCGAAGCGCAGCAATTGCGACTGAACCTGAATCGCGCAGAAAACCGCATGCGCGATTTACGCGCGGAAAACGAGCAGATGAAGACGTGCATAGAGCGCATGAAGGCCAAGATGTTGGAGGCTGAGCAGTGCGGGTCCCAAGCCGCACAGAGCTGGAAGCAAAAGTGCGAGACGCTCAAGGCCGACGTGTGCTGTTTGCGCAGTGCTGCCGAGGATTTGTGCGGTCAGCTTCATCAGGTGCCGAATATCAGCTGATTTACAGTTTAACTCACCACCACGCAATTGATTTCCCATTTAAAAAAAAGCCATTGTGATTTGATTGTGACGTATACACGATGAGAGCAGGCGAACAAAAAGTGCGCGACGCTGCAGGGTGTGCAGACGCGACTGCGCGATACATGCAACGACATCTCGTCGACCTCTTTGTCAACTGACGCCGTAACTGAACGCTCTGACGTCAAAGGTGGCAGTGCTCTCGCGGGAACTCGTCCGTCCCGCACCTCTGCTGATATTTTCGTGGCCAGCCTCAACCCGACTCTCGCATTGTACCATCACTAATATTATGCGACCGACATGAGTTTGGGTAAGAGACCTTTTTTCACGACGAGGACTGTGATTGACTTGAGTGAGGGATATACATAAAATGTTCCATTATTGACATCAATATTGCTGATGTGATTTTAATGATTCTTGGTAGTCAATATTGCTTCTGTTATGTTCCCGTCCCTTGAAGAAATTTGAAATTTTTTGTCGTATTCATATTGTAATTTTGATGATGAAATTAGAGATTTGATTTCATTCAAGATTCGTTCAAGTTAGGCGTGATTTGTTTTCTCAGCTCTCCATTATACAGCAATATTTATATTTAAATGAATGAACAGAACACTTTATTTGCCGCTTTTCAGCATTCACAAGGTTCAACGGAGTTTTCCACA